ATAGCATGACATTTTTCATGACACCTTAATTGCATTCTATAACTTTTTATGACATGCTATAGTAGAACTTTTATGGCTTTTTTTAAAGACACTAAACTTTGACATTTTTCATGGCATACTACATCTTTTTGACATACTACAGTATGACATTTTAAGGACATACTTTAACTTTTTCCATTATATACTATAGTAAGACACTATATCAGGACATAATATACTATAACTTTTTATGTCATATTTTGGTATGACACTTTACTATGACACACTAAACTATGACTTTTTATGGCAATTTTTATGGCAAACTGTACTACATGTTTTTGACACACTATACTGACATTTTTCATTACATTTTAATTGCATACTATAACTTTTATATTTATATTATAACTATAACTTTATTCTTTATTGCATGCTATACTAAATGACACTATACTGACGTTTATCATGACATTTTCATAGCACACTACAACTTTATGACACACTGCAGTATGACATTTTAATGACTTAAGTATGACACTCTACTAGGACATACTAAACTTTTTAAAACTTTTTATGGCATACTATACTACATGTTTTTGACATACTATACCACATTTTTCATGACTTATTAACCTATATGCTGTATTATGACATACTATACTATGACATTTTTTCATGTTTTTTGACATACTTAGGTATGACACTTTACTAGGACATAGTAAACTATGACTTTTTTTGACATACTGACATTTTTCAAGACATTTTAATAGCATACTATAACTTCTCATGACATACTATAGTGTGACACTATACTAGGACATACTATACCATGACACTTTTATGGCATATTAACATACTAACTTTTTCATTATACAGTATACTATAGTGTGACACTAAAACAACATATTGTGACTTTTTTTAATTACTTTTTATAACTTTTTTTTTTAATGAAACAGTTATATTTATGACATATCCTGCTATGACATTTTTGGGGGTACATTTTTTTCATCACATACAAAACTGACATCTGTACTACATACTACTGTACTGACACTGTTATGACACACTATACTAAGACTTTATGTAGGACATTTTTATGACATCTTTATACAATATTTGTTGCGAGTTACAAATTGATTATTTCATTGCATTCTATTGTGACATTTTTCTGACATACTATCCAGAGTTGTTTTTGGCAATCTGTCATTTCACTGTAAGTACAGTCATATTGCCAAACCGTAATAAACTGTTTAATATTGACTTTTCCCTCTCTACTGCAATTCAGTATGCAGTGAAATAATAAAATTACTTTAGATCACTCTACATCTTAAGTGAAACTAAGAACCCATTTTTAAAGAAAGTGACACGACAGCCAGTAACAGCCAAGAAAATTTGTAATTTATTAATATAGTCCGAAATAAGCTCCATAATCCATGGAAACATTTTTTTCCGGTGCATGTCCTTAACAATCACATTCTATGAGGATAAAAAGAACAACATTAAAAGCCACAACTTTGTATTTCAGTTACAGACATTTTTCCTTAATGTTTTTTTTTTTTTTTTTTTCAAAGTAAAGAGAAAGGCAAAGGCAAAGTACCCTCATTCCCCCACCCACCCTCCTCCCCTTTAAAAAACTGACAGCCTTAAAAGTCATGGGCTTTTTTTTTTTTTCAGTACAACCCACAGTGCTTCAGCAGAAGGATAAGCGCTCATTGGTTAAGGATTACACAGCATGGCGACGCAATGTAAAGTTTTGCTAAAACATTAGATGATGATGATGATAAGGAGGAGGAGGGAAGGGGGAAGTTGAGTGGAGGAAATTTGAGCAAGAGACAAAACAAGAACAACCCTACATCAAACCCTGAACCCCAGAGTCTGAGTCGACAAACGCCCGCAGTACAGCAGCTGGGTTTGGACTCTTCCCTCCCACTTGTGCATAGATCATGATCCTTTAAAAACCAGCTTTATTCCTCCACTTCAAACCTGTCTCTGAAAACCATCTGTTACATGTTAAGAAATCTCTCAACTATTGAAATACCTGTCACAGGAACAGACATGTTAACAGACAGGAGAGATGATTAAAAACAAACAACATAAAAACTTCTTGCACAACGCTCCTGGACTACAGGATGGAAACTTTAAAGTCAAAACATACAAATGCACTTTTCTGTCACTGTCATTTTGACAATCAAACCATTGATCAGTTTAAATGTAAAGCAATTCTACTTAGATTTCACATGTAAAGCACTCCACTTTTTTCAAAGTTGATTCTCAGTCTTATTTGGTAAATATATAACTTGCTACGAACGTTTTTGTTGTTGCTTTAAAGAAACAATGGCACTCTTCTATATTCTGTTAAACTCATGACCTTCAGTGCTTGCTCGGAGTTTAATTGTTTTCAGTTGCTTTTTTTGTTTTTCCACACGAACATTAAACCTAGAAATGATGGAGTTGGTATCTGGAACCCTGGCCTTCCTGAGACAAAATCCACATCTTTTTATGAGTGTGCAAGATAGTGAGCAAACTGCGTCGCTTACAGGTAACATAAAAATCACAACTCAATACATACAGAGATAGTCTGTCGACACTGAAAGAGAACTTAAAAATTGAAATATGACACAACACTGATCAATCCCAGAGTTCTTAAAGTAGCATAAATCTTCATTTTGCAAGATTTTCATGTCCATATTTGATGGAAGATGAAATTTGTCTTTTTTTTTTTTAAAACAACATTCCTGTTATAAATTCCTATTTCCTTGAACTTCAGACAAATGAAATGCTTGTAAACGACAGGTGGCTTTTGCAAAAAAACAAACAGAAAAGATAGGCACCTCTGAAATGAGTCTTGTAACAAACTCACCTCCCACACTTTATCCCTTTCCATTTCTCCATGAAGTTAACATAGGGATTACTAGTCCTTCTACAGCTATCTATGGCCACAGTTCTTTGTTTTTTTCCCCTTTTTTTGTTTTGTAGTTTTTTTTGTACTTTTTTTTATATTTCTTGTCTTTTTTTTTCTGTTTTTTTTTTTTTGTATAATTGGAACAAAATGGTGCAATACTCAATGATAATCCTTGTATTGGATTATTCCACAATAAAAGCCACTATAAGGTAGATAAACTTTTTACAGATAGAATGAAAAAAATCCATTAAGTCCTTGAGTAAACATGTACACATGAATTGTCACCATCTCCCCTCCGTACTTAGACTCGTTTATCTACGATTAGCTGAGTGAGGGGTAGAAGACACTCAGTGCAACGTTAGAAGATAATAACAATGTCTATCAGAATAGTTTTTGACAGAACAACAACAACAACAACAAAAAAAAAAGATAAAAAACAGACACAAAATATAACATACTGAGTGGAACATAACAGCAGGCCATGTGCCTGGTACACACACAGTTTCTTGTGCACACATTCATACAAACATCTGACGTTCAAGCACACATCTAAGATGACTTTTGCATTTTTTTCAAAAGATTTCGTATTTGTAACTTAATGCAATACATTTTTAATATTCTCTAAAAGCCCCTAAGTGTACCTGTCAGATGGAGAGAACAAAAAAAAAGAATTACTGACTTCACATTACATTATTGGCGCTCCATGATTCAAGTATTTGTGTTCAATATTTTGTCTTGTTTTGATATGTTTGTGATTTATTTTTTTTTAATCGACTGGTTGGGTTGGGCTTTTAGACA